AGTATGATGTATTCTGTCCATATCTACCCCTACAGAGTGTGACGTATTCTGTCCATATCTACCCTTACAGAGTATGATGTATTCTGTCCATATCTACCCTTACAGAGTATGATGTATTCTGTCCATATCTACCCTTACAGAGTATGAGATATTCTGTCCATATCTACCCTTACAGAGTATGAGATATTGTCCATATCTACCCTTACAGAGTGTGACGTATTATGTCCATATCTACCCTTACAGAGTATGAGATATTCTGTCCATATCTACCCTTACAGAGTATGAGATATTCTGTCCATATCTAACCTTACAGAGTATGAGATATTCTGTCCATATCTACCCCTACAGAGTATGAGATATTCTGTCCATATCTACCCCTACAGAGTATGAAATATTCTGTCCATATCTACCACTACAGAGTATGAGATATTCTGTCCATATCTACCCCTACAGAGTATGAGATATTCTGTCCATATCTACCCCTACAGAGTATGAGATATTCTGTCCATATCTACCCCTATCTATCTACCCAGAGGGATGCATTCTGTCCATGTTGACCTGATATACAGGGCTTTCTGGGATTGTGATATAGCTCTTACATGAGCAAAGAAAGAATAAACAACAATTCAAATAAATAGTTTTGAATCATCTCTTTATTTTTTTTATCAAATTAAACATAAAACATTTAAACTACAGCCACACAAGTAGATCAGAGTTTCCTGGTCGGTGATGTACTTAAGAATGGCGCTGATTCTGTGTTTGGAAGATACAGAGCTCTATACTTGTGTTAATGACTAAACACCCAGCAGTCTGTGAAGCTATTATAGCTGACATTTAATATCTTTAAGAATTGACCTTAACATATAATTCTATTTATACCTGTACAAACACACAGAATATTGAGGTGAATTCTTATGTATCTGACCAGACATCCAGCATGCCATCTTGTAGAAGGGACTTCAAGCCAGCGTCTTGGGTCATCAGCTAGGTGCCTTTCTTAATTCACACATTAGCCTCTCGTCATAATCTTTAAAATCTTTCCAAAATATATATCATATATTTTATACCGTATTCTAAGAAAAAATATTATATATTTTTTAAAGTATAATGAACTTTTTTCATTGCTCTTCTATATTTTATTAAGTATTTTAAGTATATTATCATACCAATGATAAGGAAATAGAGAAAATGTGATACTTTCTTCCTTGGAAAGTCTGCAGTGACACAGCACCGCCTTAAACAACTGTGCTTTGAAAAACAGAACGCTATCCGTTCTACTGAGGACTTTCTTTCCGCCATAGGCCACAACATTAGGTTGTGTTGATTTGTATAATTGTTATGCCATAGAAGTTTTCATGTTATTAATCATTTCTTGTTGATTTGTTTAATGATATTTATTTCTTATTCACTAAAACTATTTGCTAATTACATATCAATTCATATAGAATTTAGGGTCATTATATTTTGAAGGAATAAAATGTTTCATGTCATTAATCATTTCTTGTCTTTAGTCCTATTTTCCCATTAATACATAAAGTGAGGGGTGTTTGGTCATTTTTCGAGGGGTTTTAGGTCAAGGGGCTTTGGTGCCAAGGGGCTTTTGACCTAGACCCCTTAACAGAATGCTATTCAAGAAACTTGTAGAAATATCTTATGTACCTAGAATAGACTTGTTCACATCTTGATTGAATAAACAGTTGGACAATTACATTTGTTGGCGGCCTGAGCCTGATGCCTTTACTTGGGGCTGGTCTACACAATTACTGTATGTATGTCCCCCGTCAGTGTACTGGAGATGACCATGCAGAATATCAGAGAAGACAAGGCAGAGGTCCTGGTCATCATACCCTAATGCCATTGATGCCTTTACTTGGGGCTGGTCTACACAATTACTGTATGTATGTCCCCCGTCAGTGTACTGGAGATGACCATGCAGAATATCAGAGAAGACAAGGCAGAGGCCCTGGTCATCATACCCTAATGCCATTGATGCCTTTACTTGGGGCTGGTCTACACAATTACTGTATGTATGTCCCCCGTCAGTGTACTGGAGATGACCATGCAGAATATCAGAGAGACAGTGTACTGGAGATGACTGGTCTACACAATTACTGTATGTATGTCCCCGTCAGTGTACTGGATGCAGAATATCAGAGAGATGACCGTGCAGACAAGGCAGAGGCCCTGGTCATCATACCCTGATGGCCGTCTCAAACTTCAGAGACAAGGCAGAGGCCCTGGAACCCAGCTGTCTTGAGGATGTGTGTCTCTCCACCCAGATTACTACCAAGAGGACCAAAGACCTTTGTCTTTCCATACAAGCCTGATCTTGTACATCCACTCAATCCAAAGATGCAGCTATTGGCTTGCAATTTGTCAAGCAAGGCCTTTCCCCAACGTCAGTGTCTATTATTATGAGTTCCTTGAGAAAGGGAACTGAAATCAGTACATTGTATACTTGTTAAAGTGGGAGCAGTTTGTGGAATTATGTAGAAACAGACATTAACTGATGAACTAATTCTTGAACAACAGTGTTCTTACAGCCGGGAAATTACGTCAAAAATCTGTTTAAAGTTGAATGTCCCATCAGACATTTCGCTGGACAACACTCATCATTTACCATGACTCAGTACGATGGAAGGGACCAAGAACCAGCCAAAACCAGTAATTGTGAAATTCTTCAGACAAGCTGACAGACAAAACGTGCTCATCGCAAATAAGAGTACAAGTGTTTGCCACTGATAAGGCAATGTTCCCCATCGCAAATAAGAGTACAAGTGTTTGCCACTTATACGGCAATGTTCCCCATCGCAAATAAGAGTACAAGTGTTTGCTACTTATATGGCAATGTTCCCCATCGCAAATAAGAGTACAAGTGTTTGCCACTGATACGGCAATGTCCCCCATCGCAAATAAGAGTGATACTGATACGGCAATGTTCCCCATCGCAAATAAGAGTACAAGTGTTTGCCACTTATACGGCAATGTTCCCCATCGCAAATAAGAGTACAAGTGTTTGCCACTTATATGGCAATGTTCCCCATTGCAAATAAGAGTACAAGTGTTTGCCACTGATACGGCAATGTCCCAATCGCAAATAAGGGTATAAGTGTTTGCCACTTATATGGCAATGTTCCCCATCACAAATAAGAGTACAAGTGTTTGCCACTGATACAGCAATGTCCCCATCGCAAATAAGGGTACAAGTGTTTGCCACTTATACGGCAATGTTCCCCATTGCAAATAAGAGTACAAGTGTTTGCCACTGATAAGGCAATGTTCCCCATTGCAAATAAGGGTACAAGTGTTTGCCACTGATAAGGCAATATTCCCCATTGCAAATAAGGGTACAAGTGTTTGCCACTGATAAGGCAATGTTCCCCATTGCAAATAAGGGTACAAGTGTTTGCCACTGATAAGGCAATGTTCCCCATCGCAAATAAGGGTACAAGTGTTTGCCACTTATATGGCAATGTTCCCCATCGCAAATAAGAGTACAAGTGTTTGCCACTTATACGGCAATGTTCCCCATTGCAAATAAGGGTACAAGTGTTTGCCACTGACACGGCAATGTTCCCCATCGCAAATAAGGGTACAAGTGTTGGCCACCGATAAGGCAATGTGTGTGTGTGTCACATACAAGATGCCTGAAATGACTGGTGTCTGGGTAATCTGGTCTGGTCTGGTGTCTATATAGTTGAAAACATTGGGTGGAATGTTTTATCAGATATCGTGTTAACAAGAATTTGAAAATCGGTCAAGTGTCGTGGTGACCTTGACGATAATGTCATGGTCACCATATCGACTCGTGTCTGGGTAATCCCCCAATGTAGGATGTCACCAAATTTGAAGACATTGGGTACAACAGTTCATGAGATATCGCGTTAACAAGAGTTTGCAAAGTGGTCAAAGTGTCGTGGTGACCTTGAAAATAAGGTCAAACTGAGGAACATAAAAATATCTATGAGGACCGACGTGCCCGTTATCCGAAAGTCATACAGGAGGAAACTGGTGGCAAAAGCTTTCATTAGTTTCAAGATCAGAAGAGATGACAAACATCACACAATTATCTTCGAACAGGGAATTGATGTCATATTGCAGTAGAGGAAAAACATGGATTCAGATTAGGAAAGGATTGAGCTTCAAGAGGAAATTAAATAAGGAAATATAGAAGAAAGTGCTTGAATACGTACTACTGAAACAACTGTAGTTTCTAGAACAATAATAGTTACATTATGAACTTCAAGCAGTGCCAGTCAGGCAGTCTGCTATGTGTTCGGTGCAAGGGAGCTTGCTTGTGTTTTCCAGTTTGGAAACACACTGAGAGGACTTTCGTTATTCTTTTATTGAATGTTACCAGAAGGATACAAATAGTTTTATATCTCTATCAAAAGACTTTTAAAGACATTGTTAATCATACGGACTGTTTCAATGAAACTGTTCATGGTTCATCCAAACTTATAAAAGTATCTTTGGTGGTTGTCCTGTAAAGAGGGAGTAGCGTTTGCAAGAAAGAACTGCAGGATGTGTCAAGTTGATTCCATGTTACGTGCATCCTCGACATCCCTCATGCATTCCCTTAGGTCACATACCCATCCAGCTTTGCAGGTCACTGAAATGCCACTTTGTAAACATACACATCAGTAAACAGTTTGCTATATGTTTTGAAGTAAGCTAGAAGTAAATTGGCGTAGCCAACTTACGCAATTAACAAACCAGCCCGGATAACACCTTTTCGTGAGCAAAATAAATTATACCAAATGTAGAAATATTTGCAAACTATTAAGGAACTTTTAGGTAGGTAAATTATATCATGAAATATGTGGCCCCAACGCAGCAGTTTGATGTAGGATGTATGCTGGATAGGGCTTTTCACATTAGATGAAATTAGCCTGCAGGATGAAGTGGGCACATACTGATACCATTGAAGTATGTGGATGTGTACCAGATGGGAAAGTTGAGTGTAATAGCATGTATACGAAATAGCATAAATGGACTATAAGTGCATGCATGTTGTTGTTGGAATGTGTTAACAAAGGTGAAGTAGAACAACCTTGTTTTTTTTTTATATTTACAGATGGACGACACTTCGGAAGTATGCGTGGACGACGCATTCGAGTCATTAAAGGAATGGACCTTCAAGGAGATGGGGAGTATGAAAAAACAGTTAGAAGAATGTGAGAAAAATCTCAGGGAATGCAGAGGAGAGATGACCGAAATCAGGGGCCAAATGGTCCAAATGAACCAACAACTAGCGCAGGTGGTCAACGATACCAAGGAGAGAATGGCAAAGGTGCAGCATTACAACTATATTTTAACCATAAAATGATAGTAACGATTTGTGGGTTAATTGTTATTTGTTAATTCTTATTACCTACTGTGGTGAGGTGAAAGTGACAATTACTAACATAGGCTATGAATACTTTGTGAAAGAGTTTTTAATGTGTGTTTACAGACTGGCAACACGGTCCGGAAAGAAGTGCTCAAACTCCTGGATAACCTGAAGGATATGATCAACGCCCAGCTGGGGAAAGGGGGGGATCACCCGGCGGCCATGCAGCCTCCACAAGAAACGTGAGTTTCTTCTGCTCTGATTATGTAGTCATTATTTCATACATGGGTGTACTACATAGCATATAGGCCAACATTGCTGATGCAGGTTTTCAAACTCACACTGCTAAAGGTAATAACAAAACTTGCACTATTGTTTTTCTTTTTTTCTATGTTGCAATTTATATATTTTCAGAGTCACAGTCGTTGAAGGGGTCTACGACTTGGATCCCGAGTGGCAGGAGCGCCTGGAGCCGTTCGTGACCAGAGTCAAACAGACTGATCTCATGAATGAGGTCCAGCTAGCATTCTTTCATTGGTTCGTAAAGGTAAAGGCTAAGGGGGGGAACGCGACTGTAGACCTGTGTCGTGAGATGGCGGCACTTGGTGCTAAACTACGGCTTTGGCCCAGTGCAACATGGGTACCGGAAAACTGTTTGTCCAGTGACCTTGCTACTTACCTGAGAACAAAGTGGAAGAATACAACAACTGCAAACAAGAGGAGGAGCCTCACCACCCTGAAAAGAAAAAGCCTAGACCTCACAGAGCAATATGCTGCCTTCTTGACAAAAACCCCTGGTACCTGGACCAAGCCAAGGGGGGGAAGACCCATTCAACGTCTCCTCGGCCGATGAGGCCACTTCCCCGTAACTCTAACCGGTCAGCAGTTTCTGCTTTTCATAATGGTTTTGGAAGCCTTGTAGTTAAAATAAACAATGTGGTGCTGAAATAGCAGTTTTGTGTTTTGAGCAACATGAACAAGAATAAAAGTACAACGGGGTGAGTAAATGGTGAAGGGTTGGGGAATGATGACAGCAAAGTTTGGAAATACCACAAGGTCAACAATTTATAATTGGCGAGGTGGATATTGCTGTCACTTTATGTAATCAATGGGGATGGGTTCGGTACATGCAGTGATAGATGGGATAAGCTAGTTGGTTACCACTTACTTATCTAGTGGGTGAAATGTTTGGAACCATTCCTAACAAAGCCCATAAAAAAATGTGACAAGCAACAATTAATGTATTGCTTACCCGATAAATTAGACACGATACGGTTGGCACAGTTTGGAAGAAGGTAAACGTGTTATAACACAGTTGATATACAGGATGGGGTTGTGAAATGCGGGATGTATAGTGCTTTCGCATATGGATGTATGCCGGCTGCGACTGAGATTTGTTGATGATTTATGTATGTGGTTAGATAGCTGGTGAGGCTTAATCCTATTCATGTATTGGGGGGAATGGTGCTAAGACACAGGGTGCGTTGCAAGCCAGGAATGGCTGAGAGTAAGAAAAGGAATCACTCAACCCTAATCCTAATCCTTGCAACAGCTTGAAGTGTTGCTGACTCTTTCCAGAATGGCGGAGCGATTACCGTTTGCTTGCCTGGCCTTAATGAAGAACCTATTAGAAGAGTGTGGATGACGAGTGATGAAAGTGCTTGAATACGTACTACTGAAACAACTGTAGTTTCTAGAACAATAATAGTTACATTATGAACTTGAAGCAGTGCCAGACAGGCAGTCTGTTATATGTTCGGTGCAAGGAGCTTGCTTGTGTTTTCCAGTTTGGAAACACACTGAGAGGACTTTCGTTATTCTTTTATTGAATGTTACCAGAAGGATACAAATAGTTTTATATCTCTATCAAAAGACTTTTAAAGACATTGTTAATCATACGGACTGTTTCAATGAAACTGTTTCATGGTTCATCCAAACTGATAAAAGTATCTTTGGTGGCTGTCCTGTAAAGAGGGAGTAGCGTTTGCAAGAAAGAACTGCAGGATGTGTCAAGTTGATTCCATGTTACGTGCATCCTCGACATCCCTCATGCATTCCCTTAAGTCACATACCCATCCAGCTTTGCAGGCCACTGAAATGCCACTTTGTAAACATACACATCAGTAAACAGTTTGCTATATGTTTTGAAGTAAGCTAGAAGTAAATTGGTAGCCAACTTACGCAATTAACAAACCAGCCCGGATAACACCTTTTCGTGAGCAAAATAGATTATACCAAATGTAGAAATATTTGCAAACTATTAAGGAACTTTTAGGTAGGTAAATTATATCATGAAATATGTGGCCCCAACGCAGCAGTTTGATGTAGGATGTATGCTGGATAGGGCTTTTGACATTCGATTAAGTTAGCCTGCAGGATGAAGTGGCCACATACTGATACCACTGAAGTATGTGGATGTGTACCAGATGGGAAAGTTGAGTGTAATAGCATGTATACGAAATAGCATAAATGGACTATGAGTGCATGCATGTTGTTGTTGGAATGTGTTAACAAAGGTGAAGTAGAACAACCTTTTTTATATTTACAGATGGACGACACGTCGGAGGCATGTGTTGACCATGCTTTTGAATTGCTTAAGGAGTGGGCATTCAAAGAAATGGGAACCATGAAGCAGCAGTTGCAGGACTGCTTGACGAAGTTTCTTGGGACTGCAAAGCCGAACTCACAGAAATTAGAGGCCAAATGGCAGCAAATGAATCTTTAGCTGCTGCAGGTTGTGGAGGACAACAAGGAGAGATTGGCAAAGGTGCAGCATTACAACTATATTTTAACCATAAAATGATAGTAACGATTTGTGGGTTAATTGATATTTATTAATTCTTATTACCTACTGTGGTGAGGTGAAAGTGACAATTACTAACATAGGCTATGAATACTTTGTGAAAGAGTTTTAATGTGTGTTTACAGACTGGTGACACGTTAGCATTGAACTGCTAAAATTACTGGACAGCATGAAATCTATGATCAGCGCCCAGCTTCGGGAAAGGGGTGAGGATCACCCCGGACCACGCAGCCTCAAGAACAAGCGTGAGTTTCTTATGCTCTGATTATGTAGTGATTATTTCAGACATGGGTGTACTACATAGCATATAGGCCAACATTGCTGGTGCGGGTTTTCAAACTCACACTGCTAAAGGTAATAACAAAACTTGCACTATTGTTATCCCCATAGCAACGTTTTTTGCGGGGGTATTAAAATGGACTCCGTCCGTGTGTGCGCGTCGCGTGTGTCGCGTCGCGTCGTCGTCGTGCACATTTGTGTTTTCCGGAGCAGAACTCTAAAACCGTTCTATGTTTCTTCACCAAACTTGGCAAATAGATAGATGTGGAGGTGTACTGGTGCCTTTTGGTAGTTTTGGAATTCTGAATAAAATATTTTTGGCGTTTCCATGGCAACGAGTTTGACTAAGCCTGAAATTGGTGATAGTGCTGCTTTCTGGAGCAGAACTTTAACAACCTTTAAATACTCTCCTTCCACCTTTCTATATACACACCTAAATATTTGACATAATCATAACTCGTAGACATAATCATGAAGCGTATTTTGCCATTGTGGGGGATATTGATGACTTTGTTTTCTTGTTTTGTTTTACTATGTTGCAATTTATATATTTTCAGAGTGACAGTGGTGGGCCGGGGTTTTGACCTAGAGGACGAATGGAGAGGGCGTCTGGAGCCCTTCGCCATAACTAGGGCAAGACAAACCGACCTGCTCAACGAAGTGCAGCTGGCGTTCTTCCATTGGTTTGTTAAAATAAAGGCCAAGGGGGGGAACGCCAGCGTAGACCTGTGCAGGGAAATGGCACAACTTGGGGCCAAGCTACGGCTGTGGCCTAGTACAACCTGGGTTCCAGAAAATTGTAATTCCATGGACCTGTCTACCTACCTCCGCACCAAGTGGAAGAACACCACCACGGCAAACCGGAGGAGGAGCCTAACAAGCCTAAAAAGGAAGAGCATGGACCTCACTGAAGAATACGTCGCATTTCTAAAGAAACCGGCGGTACCAGGACCAAGCCAGGGGAAGAAACATTGAGCGTGTCATCGGCCCGATGAGGCAACGTCCCCATAAATATAACCGGGTGATGGCGGTGGGGTAGCCTAGTGGTTAAAGCGATGGAATATTGCTAAAAGCTTTTCATAATTGTTTTGTTTCTTCAGCCTTGTTGTTAAAATAAAGGAATTTTGTGCTGAAATAGTAGTTTTGTGTTTTGATTCAAAGTTTGCCATTCAGATTTGTAGGCCCATTCTGGATGCATCCTGAGATTGAAAGGATTGCCATTTGGATTTGTTAGCCCCATCCTGGATACATCCTCAATGTAGGATAGCCATTCGTATTTGTAGGGCCCATCCTGTATACATCCTCAATGTAGGATTGCCATCCGGATTTGTTGGCCCCATTCTGGATACATACTCAATGTAGGATAGCCATCCGTATTTGTAGGGCCCGTTCTGGATGCATACTCATATTGAAAATGAGTAAATGGCGAAGGGTTGGGGAATGATGACAGCAAAGTTTGGAAATACCACAAGGTCAACAATTTATAATTGGCGAGGTGGATATTGCTGTCACTTTATGTAATCAATGGGGATGGGTTCGGTACATGCAGTGATAGATGGGATAAGCTAGTTGGTTACCACTTACTTATCTAGTGGGTGAAATGTTTGGAACCATTCCTAACAAAGCCCATAAAAAAATGTGACAAGCAACAATTAATGTATTGCTTACCCGATAAATTAGACCGCGATCACGGTTGGCACAGTTTGGAAGAAGGTAAACGTGTTATAACACAGTTGATATACAGGATGGGGTTGTGAAATCGCGGGATGTATAGTGCTTTCGCATATGGATGTATGCCGGCTGCGACTGAGATTTGTTGATGATTTATGTATGTGGTTAGATAGCTGGTGAGGCTTAATCCTATTCATGTATTGGGGAATGGTGCTAAGACACAGGGTGCGCGTTGCAAGCCGGGAATGGCTGAGAGGAAGCAAAGGAATCACTCAACCCTAATCCTAATCCTTGCAACAGCTTGAAGTGTTGCTGACTCTTTCCAGAATGGCGGAGCGATTACCGTTTGCTTGCCTGGCCTTAATGAAGAACCTATTAGAAGAGTGTGGATGACGAGTGATGAAAGTGCTTGAATCGCATACTACTGAAACAACTGTAGTTTCTAGAACAATAATAGTTACATTATGAACTTGAAGCACTGCCAGACAGGCAGTCTGCTATGTGTTCGGTGCAAGGAGCTTGCTTGTGTTTTCCAGTTTGGAAACACACTGAGAGGACTTTCGTTATTCTTTTATTGAATGTTACCAGAAGGATACAAATAGTTTTATATCTCTATCAAAAGACTTTTAAAGACATTGTTAATCATACGGACTGTTTCAATGAAACTGTTTCATGGTTCATCCAAACTGATAAAAGTATCTTTGGTGGCTGTCCTGTAAAGAGGGAGTAGCGTTTGCAAGAAAGAACTGCAGGATGTGTCAAGTTGATTCCATGTTACGTGCATCCTCGACATCCCTCATGCATTCCCTTAAGTCACATACCCATCCAGCTTTGCAGGTCACTGAAATGCCACTTTGTAAACATACACATCAGTAAACAGTTTGCTATATGTTTTGAAGTAAGCTAGAAGTAAATTGGCGTAGCCAACTTACGCAATTAACAAACCAGCCCGGATAACACCTTTTCGTAAGCAAAATAGATTATACCAAATGTAGAAATATTTGCAAACTATTAAGGAACTTTTAGGTAGGTAAATTATATCATGAAATATGTGGCCCCAACGCAGCAGTTTGATGTAGGATGTATGCTGGATAGGGCTT